AGGACTCCTAGTACATTCACCAGCTTTTACCTACAGATATGTATATTTGTATATTTATATGTAAACAAATATGTTTACTAAAGGGCTCTTTGTCAACATCTACAATACATCTGAGCACAGTGGATGTATCTCTAGAAGGGAGGTCCCTGGGTCCCTGTATTATGGCTGTTGCAGGAGTCAGCACACATGTGGTTTGCTATGCACTTCTGGGGAATAAACTGAGGATTCAAAGGTATAAATAAAATTTTATTAAGAGAATTCCTAAGAAAATATCTGGGCTGGGGTTGTGGCTCAGTGGTAGAGTGCTTGCCTAGCATGTGTGAGATACTAGGTTCGATCCTCAGCACCACATAAAAATAAATAAATAAATAAAGTATTTTTTAAAAATATTTTTATAAAGGAAAATATCTGTGCCTTCTCAATTCACAAACTATATCCTATTCCCCCAAACTGCTATGGAAAAAGGCAGTAATAACCTCAGGAAAACCTGTGGCTATTCCTTGTAGTCCATGTAAAAGGGGTGTGTGTGTGTGTGTGTGTGTGTGTGTGTGTAAGGGCATGCTTAAGCTTGTGTGTCTTGTAAATGAGAGAGATGGAGAAGAAGTGCTAATAGATACCAATAGGGTTATCCAAAAGATCAATTAATGCTTTGGGGGTCAAAGGCAAGGGAGTGGCAATTAGAAGAATAAATTCAAATATTGTTGTTGTTTTTTTTTTTTTTTTTTAAAAAAAAGCTTATGTATGAAAGGCTATTTTGGCTTCAGATATCTCACTATAGGGATTCTGGTGATCAAACTTCAAAGAATTTTTATTATTAATTATTTGAGTTATAGAAGTTAAGATCTAACACTCTTCAAGATTTTCAGAATTTCACAAATTCTAAGTAGTATATAAAATATTTTCCTTAATCCTTTTCCATATGGTGACTCAGTAGGACGCCAACTTAAAAAGAATAGCCCTGGTGAGGTTTTCCTAGCCTTCACTGAACTGGCCTCAGAGCTAGTCATCAAACTCTTCTGTCTCTGAAATTCCTTACTAAAATATCAACCCCTGTACAGGGGGTCATTTATGTAATGAACTCCTTTTAGAAAAGGCATCACTTAAATTGCCAAATAAATAGAGTGAGGTAATTGGCTTTCTACAATTCTGGGTCATAGGAACCATACATTGCTTTCTAAATGAGCTCAAAGTCATTAAAATCCCAAGAATTTCATAACCTACAGTTCAAGAAAGTCTTGCTTACTTATTAAGGAGCACTGGGGAAGGCAATGAATAAAACAGGAAATGAGGAACTAATGAACTGTGCCTTCAAAAAGCAAAAGTATGTTCCAGATAAGGCAGAGAGGGAAGGTGATCACTACCAGTTGGACCCTGGCCAGTGGATCAGAAGCTCAGTCTGGACATTTTTTTGGAACTCAGCAGTGTGACCTGTTTGAATCTGTACCTCCTTCCCTGAACATCTCTGTGTTGTCTCTCCGCCAAGCCTTTCTCTGTAATGCCCTGAAAGAATGTTCAAAAGAAGCTTCCCACAAGGAGAAGGAAGAGTCTTTGATGGGAGAGTCCTTGACCTCAAGTAAAATGCCCTTGAAAGCCTTTGGGATCTGTCTTCCACTCCCCATCCCAACCTCTTAAAACTGTGCATTATTTATTCAATGGCTATTGTTTAAGAATGGAGAAAACAGAGCAATAAAAGTACATATGTAAGCCAATTTTAAGAATCTGATCTTTCTCTTGATTCAGTTTAAGGTAGTAATTAGCCTAAAAAAAAAAAAAAAGACATTTTTGTGGATAGATATTTGATATCATCAGATTACATCTTTAAATAATTTTGAAAATTTGACTCACAAATCATAGTGGATTAATTATTTTTAAAAAAGTTTTTCTTACTATTGTTGTTATTATTATTTGGACCAGGAAACATGGGAGATGTAGCTAGCCTTAAAATTATTTTTTACAAATTGGCTTGAGACATTTAGTGTGTGCTATAAGGTACCTAAGTGATCCCATTGCCACAAAGCAAGCTATTTATTTCCAGCATGTTATTTATTCCCAGGGATTGTACACATCCAGATGATGTCACCATGTCTTCTAGTGCACAAGAAAATAAGCAAATGAGACACACATTAGCTCATGTGGCAAATCACCGGGTTTGCCAAATGGAAAAGAACAAAAACTTAGAGGAAAAACATTTTGTTTTCAATCTACAAGGATATTAATAAAACTCAAACCCAACATTCTGTGGCTACATTTCCCAAGAAGAGGAGTCTCTTCTAGCCAAAAGAACATAACAACAAACTTTTGTATCTGAGAAATATGTATCTCGTGATGGCATTTTAAAATCCCAGTATTTATCATGACCAGGGCTGGCTGAAAACATGTTTCTCTGAGAGCTGGGTACCAAAAGGTGGGGGATGGAGGGACAGGACTCTTTCTACCCTAAATAGTCTGTACTTTAGAGTGAATAAATCCAATAAATGTAATTTGACTCATCATGTTTCACAATTCACAATCAAAAGTTTCTCTAGATAAAGTTCTAAGGAATCCTAGGTAAAAACCTACTTGCTAGGGCTGGGGGTATGGATCAGTGGTAGAGTCCTTACTGGACATGTGTGAAGCTCTGGGTTCAAGCCCCAGAACTGCAAAACACAAAGACAAAACCCAAATCTCTTACTATAGAGTCAAAAAGGGGGTGAAATTGAAGAACATAAAAATTTCTTACAAAGCAAGACTTTCTGTGCAAATATAACTTACAGATGCCAGAGAGGAAAAAAAAATATTATACTACTGAATAGCAATTAAAAATAGAATCAGCTGGAAGGCTTCTTGTGATTGAAAACTTAAACTTATTGAACATAATTGTAAGAAAATTCGAGTTCAGAAATCACAAGTGATTAATACTACTAATTGACATTTACTCAGCATTTCCTATGTGCCAGGAGCAATCTGAAATACTTTGCATAATGAACTCATTTAATGGTCTCAGAAATCTGTTATAATCATATGAGGATACCATTATCATTACTATTCTGTAGCTAAGGCAAGGAATCCCAGAGAGATTAAGAAACTTGTTCAAGGTCCTACAAATAGTGATTACTACCATATGTTAATCTCGATGAGTCAAATTACACAATTTCAAAGACACCAATAAATGTTGAGAATTAAGAAGCATAATCAAGTAGGATGTGAAAAAACTGTGATAGGAAATTTTCACTCAGTAAAGTAATAATGCTGAACTATTGGGACAAGTTACCTCAAGGATACCAAATTACATGCATGAATTTAACAATCTTCCTTAGAAATAAAGACCATCACAAATAAAGCTTAAATATGGCCCTGGATAGCAAAAGAAGATATATTTGTGCATTAATACTGAACAGTCATTATCAACAGACCATGCTCAGTTTGGTTAAAATGTTAGTTTTCACTAATGGCCAGGAGTATGCACATGTATTAAAAGATCGCCTGCAATTATTTTTCAGTTTTCAATCTTTTCCTGAATGCGCTGCCTTAATCAACACATGTATATGAAGAGGACGACGGGTTCACTGATTGTAACAGAGAGAATTCACTCGAAAAGCAAGATTGTTCATTATAAACTGTACCTTTCTAGAAACATTTAGAATTTTGAAAAGAAGTAGCTGTGGCAGTAGCATAGTCCAGTCTTTAATTTACAGGTGAGAAAAGAGTTCTGCATAGAGATTAAACTAAATTCAGGTTAGTATCAAGGTCACTTAAGGGGGGAAGCACAGTGGCTAAGGACATAGGAGCACTTACTAGCCCAATGACCTTGGATGCATTAATATCTTTTAGTTCCATTCTTCTCCTCACCAAAAAAAAAAAAAAAAAAAAATACTTCTCAGAGCTGCTGTGGAAATTAAGTGAATAATGTACATAGTCTACTTGGCACAATACTGGACATCTAGGAAAGGATGAATAAAGAGTTGCTGTTACCATGATCTTTAGTGATTGACAACCAGTTAGCATCAGAAAGAGATGTAAAAGCACTTATGGAATAAATGTTGTTATAACTGTTGTTTTAAATTGAGTTCCTTATCTCTTCTATGTACCTCAAACCTAAAGAGACAAAAGTCACAAAGGAAATGTTTTCCCCAAAAGTATTATTATTTATCACCTCCTCCCTTCTTTCACCCCTAAAACAATCCTTCAGTCCTTTAAGAAGTGTTTTTCATCAGAACATAACTTTGAAGTTGGACTTTTCAAGCTCTGTGGGAAGGTTCAGATGCACATTCACAAAGGGGAAAAACAGATCCAGGAAGTCTGAACAGACCAGACAGATGCCATGGCTCACAAAACCTGCTTCCTCCTAATTCCAACTGGGCTCTTCCTGGAAGGGGGTGGGGAGAATCTAACACTGGATTAGACTTTTCAACATTAAAACAAAACAAAATCAAATAATCAATCTGATCCTAATTCAAATTTGCTCCTTGTGAAAAGCAGTCATTTAAAAAAAATTTCCGTAATTGTTCAGGTTATTTATGAACAATTCCCTATCTTTCCTGCATGACTTGGGTCTCAAGTTCTGTTTCAAATAAGACTAACCTACATTTAAGGAGGGCTAAGTAATCGGGCATTGTGCCAAGTGTTTCGTTTACACTTCTCATTTAATTCTCACAACAATTACTAGTAGCATTACTGGCACCCCCATTTTACAGATGGAATAACTGAGGCCTAATGGGTTAAATAACTTGTTCAGGTTACTCAATGGTTAGCAGCTGAGCTATTAAAATTAAACAGCAGTGAGCCTGGGCCCTGAGATAACCTCTTTTCTACTCCTGTTTGGGTCATTGCCCCATATGCCACATCCTCTCTGGGGTCTCAGTTTCTAGGCTTTGAGAAGATGCAACCACACTCCAAGTTGCTTTCTTGCCTGATGTCCCATGGCCTGCTGCTGCTGCTGCCGCCGCCGCCGCCGCCGCCGCCGCGGGCGGGCTGCTTTGTTTCCAAGGTCAGCTGCTCTGGCTGGGCCTCCTTGGGCTCTGCCCTGTTTTGTTTTTGCTGCTGGACGTACTACAGACGCAGCCCTGGCAGCAGCGCAGCCCAGAGCACAGTGGAGGCTTCCTCTTTCCCTCCTTTCCTGGCTGCTTCAGTATGAACAGAAAAAGGTGGGCAGGGGCCAACTGGCAGAAGTCACAGAAATAGCAGCGCATGATTCTCAGAGGAGCAGCCGAAAGGCCGGCAGGCAGGTCCAAGCCTCCTGCCCAGTTCTCATTGACGAAGGTTGCTTTTGGCAAACAGTCACCAGCGGTTTCCATGCTCGTTTCCCTCGGGACAGGGCAGACCACTCCGATGATAGACTACACCGAGGTAATGCTCCGTGGTCCCATGCCAGCAGCTGACCGCCCAGGGACAGGAGATGGAGACGTTCAACTGCAAATGCCACGTAGAACCTCCACGCCTTCTGCAGCACCGAACCTACTCGGGAGACCTACCAGGGACTCCTCAGACCACCTCTGAGCACGTGGGAACAGGGTGCAGTTCACGCAAGGGAATGTGTCAGTCATCGCCGCACATGCGCAGAAGGCCGGCTCTGGGATTAGTGGGCTTCCTTCAGCCGCGTGCTGCTGCTCATTAGCAACCGCTGGGAGGGAATCCGTGCGGGGCTGGTTTGCAGCGAGCAGCGGACAGCGCCGGTGACTCAAGCTCTCCTAGCGCGGTTTTCTCCGTTTCCTCCCCCTCGCCTTCCCTCTCTCCCTTGCCCGCCCTCTCTCCCTTGCCCGCCCTCTCTCCCTCTGGGTCTGGGGCAATGCTCCGGCCAGGGCAGTTCGACTCATAACTGGATCTCGCCACTACTTAGTAGCACACGTGAGGATTTGGTGGAGTGGTGTTTTGTTTTGTTTTGTTTCGCTACTATTAAGCAAGATTGCCTCATAATCCTTTAAATGTTTTTTAACCACGTCTTATTTACATATCCCAGGCAGCAAGCACGTGATTCACCCCAGGATGTCATGGAGGGATCTGAAAAATATATCTGATGCTGTTTCATTCAGGAGACACAAGCAACTGGGCCATCAAAGGACAACTGTCTCTTGGGCCAACAGGACACAGAACTCTCCCTCTGGAGACCCTCAGAGATGAGGAAGAGGAGGAGGAGGAAGAAGAAGAGCTGCTGAGGTAGGGGCGAGATGCAAGGTTCTTCTCCTTCTCCTTCTCCCCTTTCCCTGCCTGCACTCTGGAGGCAAAACTTTATGCCCACAGCAGCTTCTACCTGGCAGTGGCGTTCAGTTGTGTATCAACGCCCGGTACAGCCAAGATACACCTAGAATGTGGTGTCTTCCTGCAACTTCCATACCACCCAGAAAACAAGCTATGTTGGCCTTGACAGAAAGGAAAACTGAAGCATTTCCTTTTGAGTGGTTTTATGTGATCAGATCATGTCAGATACACATCAAGGGGTTTTTCCTATCTTTTACCCCATGATAGGGATAAATAGAATTTGATTATTTACATTTCTCAAAAAAAAAAAAAAAATCTAATGATCCATCAGAAGGTAAATCGGCCCTTCCTTACTGGTGATTTTTTTTTTTTTTTTTTTAACAACTATAAGCAATCTTGACTCCAAGACTCAGACTCCAGGTAACAAGGAGCTCCTCACTAAGGAGAAATCCTTCAACATTCACAATCATTTACTAGGAGACACCAGTGAGGTCTCCACTGTACAGTGACTGACTCTCAGACAAAACACCACAACCCAAACACCAACCTTATATTTCTTAAGCTTCCATACTACCTCTGAGTATGACATTACCAAGTCATTTATCTTCTCTAAATCTACATTTTATTATCTTTAATATGAAGGGATTGTATTATGGATCTAATTTCCCTTCTAGCTCTAACATGAAATATTTGTTGGATATAATAATCTATATTAACATTGTCAATGGCAGTTTCTATTTTAAGCTTTAAATACCAAGGGCAACATAATGCTTCATAGTACAAAAATATCTCATTGCCATATATCCTTTGAGAGAAATATTTCTGCAAAACTTTCCTTGCTCTCCTTGGGGGTTGGGTCATGCCACTATTAGACTCTCTAAGCCAGGAGACAGATGCCAGTGATACAGGATGGCAGGTAGGGATTTTATCGATTTGATTTGAACTGAAATGCTTTGAAAATGCCCAGGGTTTTTCCTTGGAAAATATTTTTGCCTCTAATATTATCTCCAGTGATGAAGAGTTAGTGTCAAAGGTTTGTGAATGGATTTCAGAATGTACAAGTGGCACCTCCCATCTTTAGCTGTCTACATTTTTTTAATAACCGCTTGCATATTTTTGGTCAACCACTGTAAAATAAACAGTCCTTCCCAAATGTTTTTGTTTTCTTTGACAGCACAGCAATAATTCACTTGGAATGCTGTAGAAAAGAATAGCACTTTAATGCAGTTGTAAGGCTGACTTTTTATAATTTCTATTCATCAAGTTGTTTTGAAGTTAAAAGAACATAAAACACTCTGGAGATGTGTTATACTTGTATCTGCACTTCCTATTCTAACAGACACACACACGCACACATACATAATAAACACACATATATATAAATGTGCATATGCATACTCTATATATAATCTCTTTAAAATAATATTCATCTAAGGCCTTTGCTGTTTTTATACTTTTGAACTTGAGAAATATAGTATCTTAGTTATGGTACAGTTTTGTGTTTATGGAAATGAAGGTATGCATTAACAATTATTCCTGCTTAAAAAAGTTTCTGAAAAACAAAAAATATCCTAGCACTCTTCCTGCTTACTTGATAAGTGCTCTTGATTATTTTTCTCTGGCTATGCCCATCCAAAAGAAAGTATAAAATATTTTTTAACAAACTTTATATATAGTTTATTTCAAATGTGATAAAATTTGGTCAGATGAGCTTTATTTTCTTTCCTTTGGGAGTAGAAATTATTGTCACAGGTGTATATAACAGAATAAAATAACTATGTGTCAAAAATGGAAGGATGGAAAATAACCTAAGCAACTGCACAGTCTGTGTGTGCCACTATGCAGGATATCTTTGTTGAGGACAACACTTGGAGTAAGAAACTGGAGTCTGGGTGGTGGTACATTTTCACCTTACCCATATACTCTCTGAGAAACATATTTCAAGCCTGGACAGCATGGCTTGTAACTTGTGATCTATAACTGGCATGAATAAGTCTTGTGTTGAGTTTAATTCCAGAAGCCAGAGTTTATCAGCTGAACCATCACACCTGAATTCCTTGCAAGTGATTAGCCCTAGATGCCTGGCCTGGCTTTGGGCTTCTCCAGCAGAGAGCAGTGAAACACTGTCAATAAACCTAATTCTAAAAACCAGAGTAGATTCCAAGCTAGGAAAAAGGCAAAGGCAGAACTGGCTGGCTCATTAGAGTGGCAACGAAATTGGGAAAGCTGGGTTTATAGAATATTAAAAAACGGATATGTGTTAAAAGTTTGATGCTACTGATATTAACAGCATTGCACATATTTAGATATTTAAATGTTAATAAAAACCTCACTTGATGTTAGGTAGATAACACAAAAGGTGTATAACCAGAAAGAAAGAAAGTATTCTTTCCAAAATCAGCTTCTTCCTTTAATCCTGCAATTCCTATAGGGTTGCATTTATTAGCTTTACTGTTGCATACTTATTAGGTCACTTTCATTTGCATTCTGTTATTGCAAAGTCACTCTTCAGTCTGGCCACCTACCCTGGCAGTTTTTCAGATATCTCTTGTTTATAGCACAATAAAGCCTAGGTAAATTGAGTACAAAAGGTTTATACATACCATTCTATAAGAAAGATCATTGCATAAAAGCATTTTAAGAAGTCTGAAAATAGTTTTCTCTGTGGCTCTAATTCAAAATGAAGTTCGTAGTGGGGATGTGTGAATGGTGCTTCCAGGTAAAGTGATTTATGGCATTACACATGAACTTGTTAACAGTATAACACAAAAGTGTGAACACTCATCAAACACCTTACCCTTGGCAGAGGTGCAAATAGGTTCTTCTTCCAATCAACAATAGCATGATGACAGAGGATATTAATGAATGGAATGTTTGTGCTTGGCTGCTCTTAAAGAAAACATGTATTTTCACAAAAGAAAGCACAAACATTTTCAGTTTCACAATGTGGTACATTTGATTTGACCTGTTAACTTTTCTTTTGAGGCAAAATATCAGAGAAGATATCTAAAAACACAGACTGATCATTCATTTGCTCTACTGAAGTGGGAGATAATACCCTATGTATACATCACACAAACTTTTGGCCAGTGGCTTGATGGGTTCTCATGCCCAACCTTTTTTTTTTTCCTGCCTTCAAAGCACTGGGCTCAAATGCCAGCTTCTGCGTGCAGGCTGCCAAAATACTAAGTGAAGCATGGGGCACTACACATTAAAGGGGAGAGGGCAGCATGGCAACATGCCCGAAAAACACGCTGTGCAGCAGAAAGAACTTCGAAGAGACCGGCTCACATCAAAAGTCACTGCGTTTTTTACTTTCTCCTGGTGATCAGTGTCATTTGACCCTTTATTGGAATCTCCTCTCAGCCATTCTATCTGCCACTTCTTTTTCACTCGTCCCAAAGCCCCCCTCCACAGCACCACCCCAGCAAAAAGAAACAGCTCCAAACCAGGAAACTGCTTCCAGAGGGCAAACACAGCTTCAGCCAACACATCCCAAAGGCAGGCTTCCAATGGTCCAGTGGCAGGCAGATGCAAAGACGGTATTGCTAGGGACCATGCAATGCTGTCCGGCTGCCTGAAGAGTCTACATTCCCCTCCCTTGGCGTTTCCCAAGCTCTCAGTGGGAAACCCCTTTTCTTTCTTTTTCCTTTTTATTTTCTTTCTTTTTCCTTTTTATTTTCTTTCTTTCTTCTTCTTTTTCTATTTTTTTTTTCCTTATCAGTTCAAACAAAAACAATGAATTCCTCAAGCCCACAAGAATGTGACAAGGTGTCAACAAAGCCAACCAGGAAGGTGATGTATGGCCCATGTAGTTCCCATAAATCACTTCACAACTAGGGCTACAAAGAATGAGCCCTGCAACCCAGAGCCCAAAGTGTGAGCTCTCTCCACCCTCAAACACCACCCCCTCCATCCTGTGCACATCCACCCTGCTCCTGCAGCCTCACAGTTGCTCACCTGTCACCAACCAGCTGGCCTGCTCAAGGGTTAGGATAAGTTTCCTTCTGTAGCAAACACTACACATATATGGTGGAGCACTGTAAAATTTAATGTGCTTGAGGGACATGTGTTGACGTGGCTTTCTTGAAGCTGTCCAGGAAGTTCTTTTCAAAACTTTAATTTCAAAGGTTTACAAATGACAAAATCATTTGTTTTTTAGGTAAAAATTCAATTTAGAGAGTTTTGACTTCAGTGGTGAGATGATTTTATGGTTTCAAAAATCAGAGGCCAGGAACTATTTTGCCTGTTTTATAATAACACAAAGAGAAATTGAAAATTGCCAATCTTGAATCCCTTTCTGGGTTTACAGGATTCAGTTTTCTTGAAATAAAAATTGAATATGTAGTTGTGTGCATGTTAAAGTAGGAGGGGGATGGCAGCATTTGAGATTGCCATATGCAAAGTAACTTACTAGCAAATACAAAATTATCAAATAAGATATTTTCTTTCAATGTTTTAATATGTTTGACTTATATCTTTACACCATAATTTGGGAGTGAGAACACAGTATAAGTTCCTAATGCAAAAATTTCTGAAAATATTTAAATACAAATGATTGACTATTTTAGAACAACTTAGAATCCATTCTGTGAAAACCCTGGTGAAAGTTCCTTAAATGAATTACAAGGCAGACCAGAACAGCTAAGTAAATAATTTGCAAACATTTATACTCATATGATAGGCTCACTTGTAGCTACTACATTCCTATAAGTTTAGGAGAAAAATAAAGACCTTCCAAAGAAATAGTTTTTTGAAAACTAAAGACAACAACACAAAGGGAAAAAAACTCACCAATTCCCATGATGATGAAGAACAGGGTCAGCCTAGTTGAATGTGATTCTATTTCTTCCCTTCAACTTCTTTTTTAAAATAAAAGATTCTAAAAATAGCCGGTGTAGCAGAGATGAGCTCATTCTCTACTAACATTGCTCATTCTCTGATGATAGTAAAAATAC